AAGGAATGGTTGACGGAACATTTAAAACGACACCCGAGTCTGTCTTTGAGATGTCCTCAAACAACAAGTATGTCGCGGGCTTCGAATTTCAACGAGCATAATGTGTGTAAATTTTTTGATAACTGAGGTAATCGATTAGTAGCAATATCTGAAAACCTAGAAAAATTGTAGCCCAAAAAGAAATTAAACAAGTGGGTGTAGTAACCTCAGTAGAGCGTGGAACATTATTAAATGTTGCTGTTGCCATCACTACTAAAGGAGGACACATCCCGCCTTTTTTCGTATTCCCACCGAAACGATTCCAAGACCACATGATACGCGAGGATCCTGTTGGTTGTGCTGGAGCTAGCAATGCTAGTGGATGGACGCAGGATGCAGAATTTTTACTGTTTCTACAACATTTTAAAAGACAAGTCGAACTCACAGTTGATCAAAAATGCTTGTTACTGCTCGACAACCATGCATCGCATATGTCGATTCAACCTCTAGATTTTTGTATAGGAAATGGAATGGTACTGCTATCGTTCCCACCCCATTGCACACACAAACTTCAGCCTTTGGATGAAGCAGTATTTGGGCCATTCAAGAAAATGATAAACACCGCTACAGACAACTGGATGCGAAATCATCCTGGTCAAACGATGACTATTCATTACATTCCTGGGATTGCTAGAGAAGCATTTCCTCTTTTTGTCACTAATAGAAATGCAATCGTTGGATTCGCCTGTACCGGCATTAGTTCTTTTAATAGGAATATAGGAATATTCTTACTGCTATTGACTACGCGCCATCATTTGTGACTGACCGTCTGTTACAAGTCAACAGACAAATTTCGCCAAATGATGTGTTGACTAGTTCTGACGCAATATCATCCATTCAAGTTGATCCAAGTACTCCAGCCGGTGATCTTCCAACTAAAATTGACCTATCTGTTCCCCATACAGATAGCAATGATTTGTCAAACAGTAATGACCAACCACCGGCTGTTCAAAGTATACCGGACCCGAACTCTGCTGACACTGATCCTCTGTTAGCTAACTCAATTCTTAATCAAAGATCCAAATCACCAGTGGCAGGACCTAGCGAGATGCAATATACAAACTCTACCCAGTCGTTTAATTTCTCATCTGAAGATCTTAGACCTGTACCACAAGCTGGTCCGAGGACTAAAATAAATAAAGAACGTAAAAAACGTAAGACTGCCAGTCTGACGGATACTCCCGAAAGTAACTTAATTGAACAAGAACACCAACAACGAAATATAGCCAAGATAATGGTACTGCAAACTTATACTAGAGAAGGTAAGAGAAAAGTGTTATGTGAAAAAAGAAAAAAAAACTCCAGTAATATTCATTACTACACCAAAGGTTCCAAACAGTGCATCGTAAGTATATTTATTTTATCTAAAGATTGTGATCAATCAGCCGTATTTTGTTTAGAAAAATGACCATTGATATTTTCCGATTCCGGGGAGGGAGCCTGAAAATCAGCCATCAAAAGGCAGTAGGCGCGCCTGTTAATAAAAAAATACTTTTTTCAAATGAAGAAATACATGTAAAGTGAGTTCGGATTATATCAAGGAGGTTACGTACAGCGCCATCTGCCCGCGAATAGATCAAGCAATAATGTCGATATATCAAAGAGATTACGTACAGCGTCATCTGCTCGCGAATAGATTAAGCGATAATTCTGTCAAAAACAGATCCCGAGCTTGAGAGTTACAAGCAAACAAACATACATACATACAGGTGAAGCTAATATAAAGCGTGTAAAAAGTAAACCTTTTCGAATGATGTTCAAAAATTTGTTATGGAATATGCAAGTAAAATAATCAAACATAACGTATAGGGAAGAGTTTACTTATATGAAATTGCAAATATATTCCTGTTCAAAATCAGTAAAGAGAAATGCGAAACCAATTCACATTTTGTTGATCATTTTCTCAGATGTGTTAAAGGTGTGTTGTTTAAAGTGAGAAAAAGGTATTCAACTCAGAAGAAACTGAAAGCAACTCCAGAGCATTGAGTTGAGAAATCGGAATCAAAACGATTTTACTTCTATTTGGTTCTTGTCTTTCATTGACTAAAGTTTTTGCTGATGTTAGTCATAATCCACTAGGTGAAGACAATTTGACAAATGGAAAAAAAATGAGAAACTGTACCAGACAGCCAAATGCAAATTTACCATATTGCTGGAAAATTACATTATTAACGAAGAGAAAATTTCAGATGAATGTGATTCATCATAAGAAATATTACCATCTGAAACATCATCCTGTGTCTAGAAAATGTCTGGACGAGAGCGGAATAGGTTTAAAATCGAGGAATCTAGCCTTCCTTCTCGAGAAACAATAAAAACTTAAAACGAACCATCGCTCCCATCGCCTTAGCTGAAAACTTCATCGAAATTTTGTGATCAATTACAATCAACTCAAATATTTCTTTGAGAATTTATATGGATCGAATAAGCCTCTAAGCATAGCTAAATAATAAACTAACGATGTGCAAGGCTTATTGGGTATGATACGCAGCATCTATATGTACTCAAACGAAAGATCTATTAATCTAGTGATGCACGATGTTCAAAAAAAGATACCGAAATGGTTACTGACCAAAGAGGTATCCTTTACTGATACAGAGAGCGACTCTTCTTCACAGGAACTCTGATACATTTTTTTTTCTCCAACCCCGGTTTTTCGACACAACGACAAACGTTCAGCATCAGTTCAGAATTGAAGTCAGTTCTTGGATAGCAATTCAACTTTGAAAGTGTCATAGGTTTCTTAGCAGAAATAGGCATTCTACATAGCATATAGTATATTTCAATGTCACGCAGTTTCTAGCTTCGAAGTTGAAATTTCATGAAATGTTAATATTTCGTTGCTGAAAACATAAGTGTTTGAAGGAACTGTCTGATAAGAACAAAATGACTACCATAAACAGAATTGCCGTTCCGATCCTATTCTAGTCGTTTGAAAGCCTCGAAAGGTGTTGTGTCAACTTAATATTAGTACATGAAATTTGATGTACTTTTCTAGATGTTTGCATTTCTTTCGAATCGTTCGTTTTGAAGTTTTACATTCCTCGACAACTGGAAGGTGACAGCCTTTGGAATTTGGGATATTTTCATGTCAGAATGGTTTCAGCAGGAGCCTGTGAAATTATTGTGGCTATGAAAAAATAAACCGATGCATTGGATCTTCTTAAATAACATTGGATACCTCGGCTTGGATAATATGAGCTTGATTCAGAAACTGAAGAGTTCATCATGACCTGCCAGGATGGAGTCTTTCAACACCCTGATTTACCATAGTTGCCTGATAGGTGTAGAGGTCCCTGACACCACAAGCAGAGCCTGCCACCAGACGCCTGAGACCCTCTTGTCAGCCTTATGTTCAGCATATGTGATTTCAGTTCATCCACATAACGCTGCTCTAATAGTTCTTCATCACCACTTCAGTATCTTACGGTATTGACCAGACCTTGATGTAACCCTATGGAACGAAATATATTCGATTCGCTCTTTGGGAAATATGATAATATGAATACTTCAGTTTGGTCTTTTCAAAAATAATTTTGCTGAACGTAGACAATAAGTAGATGTTGGAAGTAAAATTTTTTGCTTTGAAATAATATTCAGAAATATTCTGAAGGAGAAAGATCGCAATGTCATTACTCAAAGTAAATATCTTGGTTTTCAAATGAATATACCATTGATATGGCCATCGATAGACTGATGAGCACTGCGAAACATTCGAAACTTATATATGACGTACGGTATGAAAAAATACTATGACGTTTCTGATATTTGGAGAAGCATGAATATCCTCATATTAGAAGGCAATTTTTACCTCTCCAAGAAATTCAGTTCGAAAGTATTTTTTCTCACAATACGGTCAAAGTATTGTTTACTCATTGATTTTAAATTATGTTCAGCATATGTGATTTCAGTTCATCCACATAACGCTGCTCTAATAGTTCTTCATCACCACTTCAGTATCTTACGGTATTGACCAGACCTCGATGTAACCCTATGGAACGAAATATATTCGATTCGCTCTTTGAGGAATATGATAATATGAATACTTCAGTTTGATCTTTTCAAAAATAATTTTGCTGAACGTAGACAATAAGTAGATGTTGGAAGTAAAATTTTTTGTTTTGAAATAATATTCAGAAATATTCTGAAGGAGAAAGCTCGCAATGTCATTACTCAAAGTAAATATCTTGGTTTTCAAATGAATATACCATTGATATGGCCATTGATATGGCCATTGATAGACTGATGAGCACTGCGAAACATTCGAAACTTATATATGACGTACGGTATGAAAAAATACTATAACGTTTCTGATATTTGGAGAAGCCTGAATATCCTCATATTAGAAGGCAATTTTTACGTCTCCAAGAAATTCTCCCAGTCAGTTCGAAAGTATTTTTTCTCACAATAAGGTCAATGTATTATTTACTCATTGATTTCAAAATTAGCCTAGGTACCTCTGTACATAACTCATTATTCAGTTTCAATGTATTAGTTTGAGAATGTCCTTATAGGATGAAACTGCAGTAACGATAAATAAAAGTGATTAAAAACATAGAAAACACAGGAAGTTTCAATTCTCAATTTCCATGTTTTGAAAAATATTTGTCGGTAATTATTATTTTCTATTCATCGCTGGACACGTAACTCAGTCTGTTCATTTCATTTAATGCGTCTTTGTTGCATAGTTGATCCCTACAAAACTTGAGCACCACCAAACCTCAATTTATGTTTGCCTAGTTACAACATTTTGAAATTGGTATGTCATCGTTCTTGTTTCCGATCATTTTAATTTTGCATTGCTAAACTCTATGCAAAATTTCAACTCAAGCAGTTGATAATAACCACTTCAACTAACATACGTACACACATACGAACATGACAAGTTGAATAAAAGCTTGAACGTATGTATTAAAAAAATAGATATTTCTCAGAATCTTGGAATACTCAAGTGAATTCACCTTTGTTGTAAATGTTAACATCCGCACCAGCTTGAATCAACTCCGCTACGATTGAATTATAAATCTCATCTTCCTTGACACAGACTGCCAGCAGGAGTGGTGTGTTTCCACTGCTGTCAACTTCATTTACACTGGCATCTTGTTTCAAAAGTTGACGAACACCTTCCAAGTCTCCATTGAGCACAGCTTCGTGTAACCCCATATGGCTCTGAAAAATCGAGTAAGAAAACGCCCTATTATACAGTGTGGAACATTTGGTATACAGAGGGGTAAGAAACCGAACAGTATATGGAAGCTGAAGTGTATGAAATCTGACAATGCACATGAAAAAATGATTTGAGGCCTCAACGAAATGAATGGATTAATATTTTCACAGATAGAGAGGCTGTGTTTGAAGCAAGAATAATCAATCGAGATTGGTTTGGAAAAGACGGCAAGAGCTAATGAAACTGTAGGAGAGCAATATTTGGACTTTATAATGAGTGATTAGATACTCATGTATCACAATGAACAAACGACCTGACGATTGTGCCAGAAACTGATCATCAATTGAAAAATTGTTATCTTTATCTCTACATAGTATAAAATAATGTCGCTTCCCGCTGTCTGTCCCTATGCTTAGAACTTCAACAATACGCAACGAATTTTGATAGAGTAATTCGAAAGGAAGGTTTATATGTATATAACATGCATAACAGTAGAGAAACATTGATGATTTTAGAGGTTCCTAATGTGATGTCATAAATAAACAAATTTTTTGCGCCTACATTGCAAACGCAGGCTGAACTCTACAAGATAGATGAAAAAAAATTACTACAGTATTGCACACTCCAAAAAGGTCTATAAAAAAGTCCGCGGTGATATATGTCTGTCTCTCAGGGATAAACAACAATAAACATTCTTCATCCTTTACTTTTTCATGAAGTGATTTTAAGCAATACATCATTAATCCTTATCCAATTAAGTACCTTGAATACATTGTTCATTCAATATAGATCAATATGGTGTTTCACAGCATGTAATTTAAATGAATATTTTCGAAGGTATTACAGATTTACAATGCAGGGACATAGCAGTTGCGGCGGTACCGGCCGGGGGGCCGGTGGCGCGTGTCTATGAATAGCGCGTCGAAGGCCGTGCTTTGCCCTATAGCACTTTATGATTATCAGCAATCGTTCACGTTTATATGCATTTGAGTATCAGCATTGCACCCGTGCGGAGCCGAGGCTGCTCGCTAGTATAACAATAGTTGAAGGAGAACATTATATTCTTTACTGCAAATTCAACAGAATTGAAATACATTGCATGCCCCTCCCTGATAACATGTTATGAATTACGATTTTTAATGTATAACGGAATGAGCTTGATCTGCTTATGTCATCGATGACATCGTAATGATATGGAACTTAGATTTCTGTCGTTTTCAAAAAACTCGAGATTTCGTTCATAAGTAAATGATATTATGAATAACGATGGTGGACCAATACCTAATAGTCTACTATATAACTTGTTGATATAATATTTTTATTATAAGATTTACCTGACTATTACGGACACATGGTAAAATTAATTTGAGACTAGTAGATAAGGCAATATTGTGAAATTGATTTAAGACACTTGAGACGGAGGTACTTAGAAGAGATGCTGAGAGATTGTAAGAATCCAACCTCATGCAAAAGTCAATAAAAATATTCTCGGACAGTCAAGTGGCGTTGTAAGCTCTTGGCTCCTGCTGAGCAACGTCTAAATTGGTAGCAAATTGCTAAAAACGACTCTCCTCGATAGAAAGACAGAAAACAGATTGTCTTTAGTCTGGATTCCTGGTCATACTGGCCTGGAAGGCAATGAGGCTGCTGACTTCTTTGCAAAGGAGGGTGCTGCAAACAGCTTCATCGGACCAGAACCTGTCATTGGCATCGCTTTAGGCTTTGCCAAGCAAACACTGATCACCTGGATGGCAAGAAGATTTATGGACTTCTGGCAGAATCTTCCAGGATTGGGTCACTCCAAGGCGTTTATTCGCCCTTCGAATCAACGCCTCTGTTTGGAAAACGATGAAACAGCAGAGCCCATACTTTGTGCCTGCCCCACTGAGGACCGAATCAGGTTTTTAGAGTTCGGCAGAGTCGTACTCTTACCATCTGACCTGAAAGACCACTTACCATACAAACTAATCAGCTTCGTTAAGAAGCTGGGTTCATTAGGTCGAGTGTGAATAGGTGTGAGCCACAATAAACCCTTTCGAGTTGCGGTGGAGGGTCGAATAAACCCACTCGCTTTGGACCTAACCTAATCTAGCCTAACCTAGAAGAGGTATCTATGGTATAAATAAAGATAACTTTGTAAGTATGATTAGATTGATCTTCTCTTTTGAAGATGATCACTTGGTGATCAAAACACGTGTCGAGGTGTTAAAATAACGGTTTGTTGTTCAGAAAGTCTCCTCTACAACTGCCTCACATTTACTTAAAGTAAAAAAATTGGAATGATAAAAAATCTAGTTCAAACCCATAACCTGCGATGTTCAAAAATAAATCGAGCTAGAAGTCCAATTAACTTCTTTCTAAACGAAACATTTTTTGTTTCTTATCCAATATTAGATCTTCAAGTAGGACAGGAAAAATATTCCTTGAAAATGAAATACCTAGTACCTTTTGAGATAACAAACAACTTTTTCGTGACACAAAAATTCAACTGGAATATTTCGATACCTATAAAATAAACCACAGAGCCAAATTATTCGTGTTTCATACAACCCTATACGTTCATTATGTTCAAATTAAACAATACACGATACCTATTGAAATACGTCAAAGAGTGATTTGATCATCGGGGAAGCGAACCGTACATTCGTAAATTTCATAAAGGTTGGTTTTCGATCGATAGTGCCTAACTATCGGTTTACTAGTGATAGTGATACTTCTTGGAACATGATCTGTTTATTTCGGTGCTTGAATTGGATATTGTAATGAATATACGAACATATCTCTCTTGATGAACAAGAGGAATTTGATTCATACGGAATGTCATAATAGTGAGGTTTTGTTTTGCTATTTGTGAGCCATTTCATTTGTCCATATCTTACAAGTTTTCGAAAACTTATAATTGTTTTCATTCGAACAATCAGCAACACTTTGTGGCACACAAAATGAAAAATGAATTTGAACATAATAAACGAAATGATATTTGCAAAATTAGTAAAATTCAAAATCAGGCATGGTAGTGTATTGTACATGTGGTAATGTGGGACATCAGTTTCTTATTTGACCTTCTGAAGGTTTCAACATGTGGTAAAACTCACTAAAAATATTGAACATTTTAGAGCAGGGCTTCAAAAATGATAAAAAGTGAAAAAAATTATAGTATGATGAAAGCCATCAGAAAAGGGGGGAAATATGATGAAAATAAAAGTAAAAATTAATTAAGGGCGATCTGAGTTCGGGAAGTGGGGGAAAGTGAGTTTTTGAGGGTGATAAATGGTTTATCGCAATTTCCGGCAAAACTACAAGTCCTATGTCCCAAATACACTATAAATCATTTGATTCGATATATTTATTTGTTTACTTTATTTTCACTCAATATCAAAAAAGCATCCTAATTTTTAATCGAAAATTCTTGCGTCAAAATATCAGCTTTTTTCAAAAAGTTGGTGTGCTTTTTGTTCTTTGACATCTCTACTTTCTGATGGTGTAAAAAAATTTACATTACCATAGTGAATCCGCTCAGAAAATGCAAAAAATGGAGAAAAACTCGAAATAGAGTTTTTGTTTTTAGTCATTATGTATAATTTTGTGCTTTTTATTGAAATTCACACTTTAATTACTCAAAAAACGTGAGATTCCATGAAACATTGCTAAACGAAAAAATTGCAAATCAAAATATACTACTAAAATCAACAAACAAATAAGTTAATAAAGTTAATATTCAATAAGACATCTACAATATTTTGAGAAGGTTAAAGAATCTTCTTTAAATAATATTTGTAGATGCCTTTTTATTGCTGTTTTGAAATAATGTATATACCTGAGTAACCTATGGAAAATTTCAGCACATTAAAAGATATTTCATAGGAAAAGTGGGAAAGGAGCTAGGAGCGTCTGGGCCTAAAAATTTGTTGTCAAATTGGGCCAATTTTTTTTAAGAGAAATGGAATTACACCAAATCAATTGAGATTTCAATAATATCAATTGGCAAAAGTTAAATCATCGTTCATTTTGGCAAACCTGTCACCCACAGAATGAGCAGTAGAACAACATTGTTACGCAAAATTATCAACTTCAAACTTGGTTGGGTAACGAACTGACAGCAACAGATTGGGGCTGGAAGCAACATCAACGTGGCTTTATGCCCAAATTTATAGACAAGAAATTAATTCCGGAAGTACTGCTTAAAATTTTTTTCTGCAGCTGTGAAACTTGATGTAACAGATTAAAATATGGCTGTCAAAAACATGGTTCAAAATGCACAAATTCATATTCAAATTGTCATGGTTCTGAAAATTGCTCCAATATGGAATAAAAACCTGAGAGGGAGTTAATAATTCAGTTGAAATTATGGTTGAAGAACCAATGCAGACTGAAAATAATATTGGAGACGAAGAAGGTGATGGTCTTGAAGATTTCGAAGATCAACTAGAATGGGAAAGGTTTTAAACTGATAGATGAGTGATTAAAATTTAAGATAAGGTACCGGCCTGAACGAATTGTTCCTTCAGATGATTGGATTAATAGCCAGTCTTCAAGTATGACCACTGACTATATGTGAAAAGTTTCCTTTCCTTATACGAGGATTGGGTAAATTTCGGATATGTGATTGGTTACCTCGTTCACAGGCAGATGGAGCGATGACAAACCGGTTGTTTGTTGTCCGCTTCATGAGAATATGGAAGTTATTGGTATTCAAGGTACTATATCTAACTGATCATAAACAGTATAGTGAATCTTATGTCTTCTGCTGTGAATGAAATTGGGGCACCTCAGAATAGTGTCGTAGGGCTCCTTTCGTTTCTCATTTATAAGATTGATACAATTACCATGAATGTTTTTTCAACTATTTTGTGGATGACGCACTATTATCAGTCTCAGGCAACAATGCGACTCAATGATTCATTTTGAACAAAAAAATGTATTTGAATTTTGATAGAATGGAAGGTGATAACTAAAACTAGAGCAATAATAATAACATTTCGTAACATAAAAGTGTCAACACAAATCAAATTAATACCTCAGTAGATGGCAATAGGATTGAATTCAAGTATTTGGGTTTCATGGCGGAAAACCTCATAATTCAATGAAAATTTCTAATTGAATAAACCTAGTCGATACTTGATAAAAATCCATATCAAAACTCAACAGTACAGTTTATTGTATGATTTTCACTATAAAAGGTTTTACAAAAACCGCGACACGTGTTTCGCTATACAATAGCTTTCTCAAGCGTTAATAATAAGTTACTTCTAACCTACAACTATCAACTTAGGCATGCACATTGAGAATAACAAAGATAAAAATTCAATTTCAGAAAAATCGGGAGTGTATAAATAATTATCATGTGGGTCATATCCGATGTTTAATGTAGGTCAAACTGGAAGAACGTTCAAAGCCCGCATAAAGGAACACGAAAATAGTTTTCGGAATGGAAAAACAAACTTCACATAAGCCACTCATTTGATCACAGAGGGACATGCGTTTAATTATGAATTCACGCCCCTCCATTTCCGGAAGAAAGGTTCAAAACTCAATCTGTTAGAGAGGATGGAAATAAACAAATTTAAAAACTCACAATATCTCATGAACGATCAAACTGAACTGAATAATTCGTCATTATCAATTCTTTTTATTTCCAGGTAAGAAAAGTTGAGTATAATTACGGTATTTTCGGAAATTTAATTTATTCGTATAGTTAATGAATTTTCACCTGACCTTTTCAGGTAGGTATTCATTAGAAAGTAAACAATCAAAGTATGTTAGAGTATAAAATAGTTTCAATTCAGAAGTAACTCATCATTAACGTTTGAGAAAGCTATTGTATAGCGAAACACGTGACGCGGTTTTTGGAAAACCCTTTACAGTGAGATGAACATTCCTTCTATAAGTATAAAAAAATCAAAAAATACTTTTTTTTTCAGAATTCCTTCTCACCTTTTCTAAATAACTGAATAACATGATTATCTAGCCATTGTGGTACTGATTCTACCCCTTTCAACTGACCAAACTCTCAACCCTAGAGAAATTACAAAATCGTTGTTTGAAAACAACTTTACAATTTCATCGATCGACCAGTATTTTGACAATGTTGGATAACTTCGCGAAGGATATCGGATATCAATGAGGAATAAACTATAACAATGATCTTCATTTTCGAAACAATCATCGTTACTTCCAGACTATTGCTGTAAATGCATTTTTGTTAACATTTCTCAAGTGGAAAATATCGAATGCAATGAAATCTCGTTTTTTTTAAACTTGATGGTTTCATTGAATTATCACATGAAATCAAATAGTCGAATGCCATACCTATATCAGTTCAAGTTAAAAATCCATTCGAATAATGTATGTATCTAGTCATTTTTTTCCGGAAGGTAATTCGAAATAGTATACCTAGTAAATAAAATTGAACTTTTTCAATCATACTAGTATCATATTCGTCATTATTGTAAATATTCGGTTGTTTCCAACAGAAATTAAGATAATTATGGTAAATGCCCGTCGCTTCATGGTTTAACACAATACACACAATGTGTATTTCAATAAATCTTTCATTTGATAATAAACTCCTGAGGCTATTTTTCGAATGAATATAGTTCATAGAGATTTGAATTAAACGTCAATAACCACTTGGGTATCCTAAGCATTTTTCAATCCATTAAACAGTTCTTCGAAAAAATTGTTTCATTAAGATATCTGCTGATTCACTCGAAATATTATATTTGTTTCACAGATCAATGAATTTGATTATTTTGAATGAAGTACTTGCTAAAAATCCAAAATGAACTTACGCCAATATTTTGCGGAGACTCAAGACTTTTCAAGATATTACTCTTTTCACTAATGTTACTTTCTGTCCTATTTATTGACTAATTAGTTGACAGCAAATATTTACCGGAAAACGGTTATCTCGTAACCACAAAACCAAGTCGTTAATTTATTGTGATAAGTGATACCAAAAAACAATATCGGAGATTATTTTTCGAAGACGGATGGACGAAAGTTTCATGACTGATGCTGCAGAGTGTGTTCTTTATAAAATACACCTTCCGACACAAAAAGTTCGTGAAGGTGTATTTTATGATATTACTATGGCTCTTCATTAAGTAACGGCCAAATCAATGAGAAAAAATATACAGAATATGTGTTGCTCATAGAGAAAATAAACTTTTTTTGTATATTTTATATTTCATTCAATGTCTCCAAATCGCCCATTCAACATTCTCAGTGGTCTTATGTCAGTTGAAGGCACGGTATTTATCGTAAATTTTTCAGATTGTCATCAATCTTTTTTTATCTTGTGCAAGTTGGGGATAACAATAATAATAATGATAATAAAAAAAGCGAGTGTGTTTTAGACCACATGACTAAAGTAAAACTTCGTTAGCTCCATCTATATGTATAGTGTTTCCGCAAAGTATGGAATAAATTCAATTTTTCCAAAACCAAAGGCCGTTTCACAAAAAGCTGAAACACGTCGATTTTTGATTTTGATATTCTACATTTTACAACAAAATTTCATTATACAGGGTGATTCATATTCATCGGTAATTTTTTTAAATGCAACACCCTGTATTTAACGATGGGAAAGAAATCCAATAATGAATACATGAATTTATTTTGAATGTTCGAATGTCCTTGCTGTAGTTGACAGTAACCGTGCTAACAAGTATTTCTTAACTTCTTAATTTCTAAAAACTAGGCGGCTAGTTCAGTAACTGTTGAATAGGACAGTAGTTGTTGTATTAATTCGTGAATCTTCTGTATAGTATTGCTTCGAATTAATTTGAAGTAATAACCAATTTAAGTGTAAAGCAAAGAATTGAAATACTTATGATGATTGGCTATGGAGACAGATCGCGAACTCAGATGGAAGTGTGTAACTTATTTAATGAAACATATCCAGAAAGACGCATAAGGCAGTCAGCAGTAAGTAAGATTGAAAAGAAATTTCGAGAAACTGGTACAGTTGAAAATGCACGCAAATCAGGTCGTCTTTCTCGTAAATGATGATAGAAAACTAGATATTCTACTTGCTTTTGAGGAAGATGTGCACACTTCTGTTCGAAAGGTTAGTCGTGATTTCGATGTCAGTAAAACAACTGTACACAAAGTATTAAAATTTGGAAAATGGCATCCCTTCAAAATCGAACTTCTACAGGAAATAAACGAAGATAGAAGAATAGAATTTTATGAAGCCATGATGGATAACTGTCACCGAGACCGTCTCCTCGTAAAAAATATAATTTTTTCTAATGAAGCCACTTCTACATTAAATGGGGAGGTCAACTGTCAGAATTTTAGGTACTGGTCCAAAGAAAACCCCCACTGAATGCGTGAACATCATACACGATACCGGCACAAGGTAAATGTATTGGCATTGACATACCTTCAGTTTTTAAGGGGATATCTTGTACCTAATTCAATTGATTCATTCCGCAGTAGAATTAATCCTGGAAGTTTCCATGAAACTTTATGGTTTCAACAGGATGGCGCGCCTCCACATTATGCTGCAGATGTTCGATGGTATCTCGACCAAATGTTTACAAACCGATGGATTGGTAGACGTGGACATATTGAATGGCCAGCGAGGTTGCCAGTCTAAAATCGAACAAAAATGAACAATATTTCTCAAGAAACCATAAACAAAGTTCAACAAGAATTTATTCAACGTTTAGGTTACTGTCAAATACAGCAAGGAAAACAGTTCGAACATTTCAAATGAAGTCATGTATTTATTACTGGATTACTTTCCCATAGTTGAATTATTCATTAGAAAAAAATATAAAATAATTAACTATTTTCAACTTTATTTAGATATCAATAAAATTTATTTTCCAAGCGCACATCTTTCAAATTCTGTCCGTTAGACCCCAAGTATCATACCTTTTCGGTATCAGCTCGTTACGGATTATCTAAAACTTGACACCAAAAAATATAGGGTGTTGCGTAGAATAATAAAATTAAAAATCGACGTGTTTCAGGTTTTTGTAAAA